CCCCTCTCCCACCCACCTCCCTCTTCCCTTCCTTCCTTCCCCCCTCCTCTCCCTCCCCCCTTCCCTCCTCCCCTCCTCCACCTACCTCCCTTCCCCCACCTCCTCTCCTCCCCCCTCCCTTCACCGCCCCCCTCCCAAGGCGGACCCGAGCAGCGTCGACCCTGCGAAGCTCTCTCCGAACCGCACTCGCCGCTCGAACGAGAGGTCGATGTCCGTGCAGAGCTCCCTCGATCCTCTGGGCTCCAGCACCACGCTCTCCTCCTCTGCCTCCTCTGAGATGGAGTCGGGGCGGCACTCGTCCGAGGGGGGAGGGCGGGGGGGGAGGGGGTAGGTGCTCTCCGCTCAGTCAGCTGAGGGGACGTAAGGGATGGGGGAGGTGAGGGTGGGGGAGGGGAGGGGGAGAAGGCAGGGGGGGGGGCTGTCAGGTGGGGAATTTGGGTTCGAGAGGGAGGATGTTGTGTGAGTTGAGAGAGAGAGAGAGGAGAGAGAGAGAGAGAGAGAGAGAGAGAGAGAGAGAGAGAGAGAGAGAGAGAGAGAGAGAGAGAGGAGAGAGAGAGAAGAGAGAGAGGAGAGAGAGAAATTAAACAAACAAACAAAGAGAAAGAGAGAGTTAGACAAAGAGAGTGAGAGAGAAAGGGGGAGGGGAGGAGACATACAAAGAATGAGAGAGAGAGAGAGAGAGAGAGAGATTGAGAGAGAGAGAGAGAGAGAGAGAGAGAGAGAGAGAGAGAGAGAGAGAGAGAAAGTGAGAGAAAGAGAGGAGAGAGAGAGAGAGAGAGAGAGAGAGAAGAGAGGGCGAGGGAGAAAAGAAAGAGTAAAGCAAGCGGGCAATATCAAAATCAAGGACGGGGATGTGCCACAAAGTAATTCCAAAACTGCCTCTGTTGCAGATGAATGATTTACTCAGAGTCGTAGCAGAGTAAACATATTTTTTTCCAAATGGAGGGAGAGAGGGGGAGAGAGTGCTAAGCCAGGCTGTGATAGGGAGAGCTGGCGGTTAGAAGCAGTGCAGGAAGGAGAGAGAGAAAGAAACGGCGAGAAGTAAAAAAAAAAAAAAAAAAGAAAAACATAGCGAAGAATAAAAAAGAGAAGAGAAGGAAGATATGAAGAAGAGGCAATTCTAATTCTTATCATTTTTTGGCAAAACGAATCGAGAATCTACCGGGAAGCCCTAACAGCTGTACAGCCGAGACAAAGGGCCAATAAAGGGTAGATTTTGAACTTTAGATTTTGAAGCATAAAGTTTTATCAAGAACAAGTGACTTTCTAGACTGAACGTTTTCGAATCTGTAACTTGGATCTGTTTTAAGATTTAGATCGCCTCATAATCAAGTCCTTGTGATAATGTTTAAAACAAACGCTATACTGTTATACCATGAAGTGACCACCAAGCTTATTAACGACTTCCTGGTGACATTTCCATGGGGTTGAGATGGAATTTGGTCAACAAGGAGCCCCGGGGAAGAACCGCAAGGACAAAGGACTCCTCCAGGAACCCCGGAAGAGCACGGAAAAGTTCCTCTTGAAATGTGTCTGCGCGATTTTGTTCTCCAGCAGACACATACAAAAGGACTTGGTGGATACCTTAAAGAAGAACAGGGACTTCGAACGTGTATTTGAATGATCATTATAAAGGAGGCATCGTTCGCTGAATGGAAAATGAAAATCGCCTTTTTTTTAAGATAAAGAGATGTCTTTGAAGTTCTGTGGAGATCTTAAATCCTTTTAAAAGAACAGTCGAACTCAGGTTTCATTATGGACATGTGTCTTATGGTATTTAGAGAATAGATTTTTCATATTCCTCCAAGAAGGAGAGATTCTTTGCGTGTGGGAGGGAGAAAGAGAGAAAAAAGATTGTACGTATGAGAGAGATTGAGAGAGAGAGAGAGAGAAGAGTAGAGAGAGAGAGAGTAAATGTGTGAGCAAGAGGATAGAGAGAAAAAAAGGCCTTGTTCTTCATCAATATATTTATCCAAATGTTAACTACCACCAAGATACTCTTTCTCAACACATGTCAGCATGATACCCGAAAGAAAACTATTTATTATCAAAATTACTTCCTATATCAACGTATACTTCACATTATTACACAAACCTCTATGAATTATTTCATTAGATTCTACCGTAAGATGAAATCAACAACTGGATAATTTTTGTCATAAAATTCAGAAAAAAAGAGGTGTGTGTAGATTCTATTTTTATGTTTTAAAACAATTTTCGGTGTATGTGTGTATCGCCGTGAGATTATGTTCCTGTGTGTCTGTGTTTGTGTACGTTTCCGTATACGTCGTTTACGCTTAGAATCGGTTATAACTCAAATTTCCTTCTAGTTATTAGCTCCGTGTGACTCTTTTTTTTCCACGTAAAGGGCTTCCGGTGGCGTGCAGAGGTCTTGAGTGTATGCCCCAAAGACCCGAGTGTAATGCCTCGTACTGGGAAGCTCTTTGATAAAGGGAGATCAGCTGACACCGCCCCTTCGACCCCCCCCCTCCCCTCCCTCCCCCCTCTGCACGCCACTGGGAGTTCGATCACGTTGGCATCACAAGTATATTAAAAAAACAAATTATTTTCGACGAATATATATATAAAAAGCGAAGACAAATTTACTGATAGTCAAAGACTTTTGTCTAAGGTTGTTATTCAGATAATAGACTAATAGAAAAAAATAAAGTGAAATAGTATTAGTGAGTCATTCAGAGTGGTTAGTTATAACAATAGCAAGCCTATGAAATAAAAACGAAATATTACTGAATCATTATATTTGAATTATATATATATATATATATATATAATATATATATATATATATATATATATATATGACAAAAGCCTCATAATCTGGAAACTGAGGTAGTGTATTCATTTTCGTTAATCTAAAGTGACTTTTTCAAACCAACTTCCAAATCAGAATCAAGGAAAACAAACCACTTATCTTGCAGTATTCAAGTAGAGGTTATAAGAATTCAGGTTTTACCGCCTTGTAGATTCCTCTCATACAAATACTTTCGAAAATAATAGTCTTTGCAGTCTCAAGTGTAACTAGCGTGATACTCTGTTATAAAATGATGTATACTTATTATTTTCTAATGGCATACGTACTACAATAGGCCTTTATTATTCTAAAACAAGTGAACATCGGTGATTTGTACACTTTTTGTATAAACAGCTTTTGATGAATAGGAGAATTTCCAGTCACTCAAAAGTAACTTATTACGAATTTGTTAAATGCAACAACAAAAGAGTCTTCAAGTCTTTATGATACTAGGATGTAAACTGTACTATGATATAGATCTGAAAAAGAAAAGAAAAGAAAAAAAAACACAACTTTAAATAATTCATGTTGATAAATATCGTCTTTAATTGATCTATTCACTCATGATTTCTTAGTGTTTCGATTGACCAGTATCCTTTCGTGCTCTGCCGTTCACACTGGGACTATATTGTCTTTCTGTCCACGTGCCAAAGCCCTCATAAAAGCGATTTTTCCCGCGTGTATCTCGACGATGTTGTGTGCCTATACGCCGTTCATGTGATCATAAAAAAGAGAGGGATTTTTTTCCGGGGTTGGATATAGAAATGTATATTTTTTCCAATTTATCTTTGTACATTTATGACTTTGATATATCCTGTGACAATGTGTGCGTGTTGTGCTTAAAGACGGGAAGGGCAGTTTGTCAATAAACACCTGAAGTAGCGCATGCGTATTGTTTTATGTTTTTTTTTGTAGGTGCGTATCCCCTCCTCCATTTCCCCCCTTTCTCCTTTATTTCTTTAAGTCTTTCCTTTTCCTTCTGTCCTGTTACATGGTCTCCCAAGCACATCAACGTGTACCATATGTGACTTCCCAAAGCTGCGGACCACAAAACGAGCCTCCGACTTAAACTAGTGAACCAGGTACTCATTCACAGCTGAGGAGATTCACGGCGAGAGATCAAACACTCTCGTCTGTGGGAAGAACTTCACAGACAAGTTCTATGTTGGGAGTTTGAAGTGATTTGGCCGGAACTTTGACTACTCGGTCGCAAATAAGAATGTTTATATGCATTTACACACGCATATATGTGTGTGTGCGCGCGCGCGTGTATATATATATATATATATATATATATATATATATATATATATATATATATATATATATAATACACACATACACACACACACACACACATACACATACACACACAACAAACACGCACACACAACCATATATATATATATATATATATATATATATATATATATATATATATGTATATACATATGTATATATATGTATATTACACATACATACATACATATATATATGATATATGTAATATATATATTATATATATGTATATATACATATATACATACATATATATATATATATATGTATATAACTTGCCATTGTTTAAATAAAGACGAACTCGCTGTAATGTGCAACATTGTCTCTTGTACCAACCACAAAGGTCCCTGTCTAATCCTTTATAAATGAATAAAAGTATACATAACTTATTTCTGTGTTTTTTTCTGTCCACGATATTGGTCTCAGAGAAGATTGCTTTCGTATGAGTGTGAAAAGGAAAAAAAATTATGATACATACGAAGGGTTATGAGATGTTAAGCCAAAGCCATTCATTACACATGGCTGTTATGTCTTGTGCGAGAATTATTACTTTTTTGTTTTTACTGATGTATCTTTGACAGTATATATACATATATATGTATATATATATATATATATATATATATATATATATATATATATATATATATATATATATATATAATATATATAATATATATATATATATATATATATATATATATATATATATATATATATATATATATGTATTATATATATATATATATATATATATATATATATATATATATATATATATCTAGATAGATAGATAGATATAGATATACATATATATGTATGCATATATATTTTTCCTTTCTTTCTTTCTTTCTTTCATTTTCATAATTTTGATTTTGACAGTATATCTCCCTCTTTCTTTTCTTTTTAATCAACGCTATAAACTTTGACAGTACATCTACGCTTTCTTAATTTCTTTACGAATTTACACTGGCAGTATATTTCCCTTTTTTTCTTAACGAATTCAACTTCAATATGCCATTACTTCCCCCCCCCCCCCCCCCACACACACACACGCAACAGGACTCGCGTTAACGAAGTACATTCTCGTAATTGTTTTTAATTGTTAATTAATAGTTATTCACTGAGTTTTCTCTCGTTTTCCTCAGACCAAAGATATGGCAGATAGATAGGTAGATAGATAGAAAGATGGATAAATAGATACATGTGTATGCATGTATGTGTGTGAATATAAGAGAGAGAGATTTTCTATCTATTTAAATATGTTTTTAAATTTCTGTCTATCTATCTATCTGTACAGTCCTCAGTGGGTAAGGAATAACAAATGAACATCAGTGCACAAGCTGGTAATAACAATTAACGAATAACATTACAAGAAGGAAAGAAGACAAAAACAAAAGTGGAATAAAAGCCAACATCAAGAATAAAAAAATCATAAATAACATAAAACATAAATAACATAAAACAATGATATGAAAATAATAACATAAATGATAAATAACAATAAAACATGAAGACAATATAAAATGACATGTTAGCATGGATAAACATAAAATAGGGAATAAGAAAAATAACGAATAACTAATAAATCACAAGTAAATAATAATAATAATAAAATACACACACGCATGCATCTATATTCTACAACCAAAAACCTTCCCTACCCTGCACCCTTTCTCATTTATGATAAATATATTATGCATATTTTATAATTTACAAAGACCTATACCCATCTCCCTTGCTCATTCAAGTAATAAATGTATTATTCTTATTTCTTTTATAA